CCAAGGAGGGGTCGCTATGAGTCGGGTCGACTCGACGGCAAATAACAACAACAACAACAATGCAAGGATGGTTCAACATTAGAAAAACAATTGTCATCCACCACATAAGTAAAACAAAGGAAAAGAACCACATGATCACATCAATCAATGCAGAAAAAGCATTTGATAAAACACCCATTCCTGATAAAAACTCTCAGTAAAATAGCAATAGAAGGGAAATTCTTTGATACAATAAAGGGCATGTATGCAAAGCCAACAGCCAGCATTATTCTCAATGGAGAGAGACTGAAACCATCCCCCTTGCAAACAGAACCAGACAAGGATGCCTCCTATCACCACTTCTGTTCAACATTGTATTGGAAGTCCTACCCAGGGCAATAAAGCAAGAAAGGGAAATCAAAGGCATCCAAATTGGTAAGGAAGAAGTCAAACTATCCTTATTTGCTGGTGATAGGATCCTACACACAGAAAAATCTAAGAGAGTCAGCAAGAAAACTACTGGAACTAATTGAGAGATTTAGCATGGTGGCCAGATACAAGATCAACATACAAAAATCAGTTGGATTCCTCTACACCAGCAAAGAGATTGCTGAAAAGGAAATAAGTAAATCAGTACTACTTACAATAGCTACCAAAAAAATAAAATACTTGGGAATAAATCTTACCAAGGACACAAAAGACCTGTACAAAAAAAACTACAAAACAGTATTTCAAGAAATCATCAGAGATCTACATAAATGGAAAACATACCATGCTTGTGGACAGGAAGATTGAACATTGTGAAAATATAAGTTCTACCCAAAGCACCCTATATATTCAATGCAATCCCAATCCAGATCCCATCAATATTCTTTAAGGATATGGAAAAAATAATTACTAATTTTATATGGAAAGGAAAGAGACCTCAGATAAGCAGAGCACTATTGAAGAAGAACAAAGAAGGAGGTCTCACACTCCCGCATCTCAAAACTTACTATACAGTCACAATAGTCAAAACAGCCTGGTATTGTACAACAACAGAAACATAGACCAGTAGAATAGAATTGAGAGCCCAGAAATAGATCCATTGACATATGCTCAGCTGATTTTTTACAGGGGGCTGAAATCCATTAAATGGGGGAAGAGATTGTCTCTAACAAATGGTGCTGTCAAAACTGGATATCCATTTGCAGAAAAATGAAACAAGATCTGTACCTCATACCATACACAAAAACTTACTCTAGATGGATCAAAGACTTAAATGTGAAACCTAAAACTATGAAGTTCCTTAAGTGGAAAATAGGGGCAAATTTAGGGGCCCTAAGTTATGGCATAACTGTCAAGCATAACCCAAAATGCACAAATAGCACAAGATAAATTAGATGAAGGGGACCTTTTAAAAATTAAAATTTTATGTGCTTCAAAAGACTTCTCCAAAAGAGTAAAAAGAGAACCTAAAGATTGGGAAGAAACATTCAGCAACAAAATATCTGACAAGGGACTTATCTCTAAAAGTTATAGAAAACTCCAACATCTCAACAATAAAAAGACAAACAATCCAATTAAAAAATGGGCAGAAGACATGAATAGACACTTCACCAAAGAGGATATTCAGGCAGCCAATGGACACATGAAGAAATGTTCATGATCATTAGCTATTGTTGTCGTTGTTGTTGCAATCAAGTCAGCTTCGACTCACAGCGACCCTATGTACAACAGAACAAAACATCGCCCTGTCCTTTGCCAGCCTCATAATCCTTGCTATACATTAGCCCATCATTCCAGATGTCAATCCATCTCATTGAGAGCCTTCCCCCCTTTTGCTGACCCTCCACTTTACCAAGCATGATCTCCTTCTTCAGGGAATGGTCACTTCTGACAACATGACCAAAGTAGGTGAGACAAAGTCTGATCATTCTCAATTCCAAGGAGCATTATGTCAGCACCTCTTCCAGGATAGATTTGTTAGTTCTTTTAGCAGTCCATGGTATTTTCAGCATTCTTTACCAGCACCATAACTCAAAAGCATCAACTCTTCTTCGGTCTTCCTTATTCATTGTCCAGCTTTCACATCCATATGAGGTAGTTGAAAATACCATGACTTGGGTTAGGCACATCTTAGTCTTCAAAGAGACATCTTTGCTCTTCAGCACTTTAAAGAGGTCTTTTGGAGCAGATTTGCCCAGTGCAATATGTCATCTGATTTCTTGACTGCTGCTTCCATGGGTGTTGATTGTGGAAACAAGCAATATGAAATCTCTGACAACTTCGATCTTTTCTCCATTTATCTTGATTCTGCTTATTGGTCCAGTGGTGAGGATTTTAAATGTGAGGATTTTCATTTTCTTTATGTTGAGATGTAATCCATACTTCAGACTGTAGTCTTTAATTTCTGTCATTAGCCATTAGAGAGATGCAAATCAAAACAACAATAAGATACCATCTGGCCCCAGCACTAATAGCAAAATTCAACAAGATAGAAAATAACAAATGCTGACATTTGTGGAGAGATTGGGACACTCAGACACTGCTGGTGGAAATGTAAAATGATACAACCACTGTGAAAAGCAGTATGGCGATTCCTTTAAAAAGATGGAATTAGAAATACCATTTGATTCAGCAATCCCATTACTAGGTATATATCCTAAAGAAGTGAGAGCCAGGACAAGAACAGATATATGCACACCCATGTTCACTGAAAAACTATTTGCAATAGCAAAAAGATGGAAACAACCTATGTGCCCACCAACAGAAAAATGAATAACCAAACTATGGTACATACACACAATGGAATACTATGCACCACTAAAGAACAATGTAGAATCTACAGAACACCACATAACATGGATGAACTTGGAGGACATTATGCCAAGTGAAATAAGTCAATCACAGGACAAGTATAGTATTAGTTCATTATTTTAAAAAGTCAAAGAAAGGTTTATATATGGAAGGAAACTTTCTTTGTTGGTTACCAGGGGTGGGAGAGGAGGGGAGGGAACATTGCAAATAAATAAATAATAAATGTAAAAAGAAAACCCTATGGAGCACAGTTCTTTCTAGCACAGGTCGTCTCCATGAATTGAAATGGACTCAACCGCAACTGGTAATCTTTATAATCTTATGGGCTAATTCTAATTTGCAAGATTGATTTTAAACCAGGGGTGGTGGTGGTGTGTGTGTGGGAGGAAGAACCCTTCTCAAATGACCTTGTTAACTGGTCTTCCTAGTAAATGCAAATAAGATACATTTCTTATTCAAGGACCAAAAATCAAAACCAAACTCACTGCCATCGAGTCAATTCTGACTCATAGCGACCCCTCCTTGGGTTTCAGAGGCAGTAAATCTTTATGGAAGTAGATTGTCCAGTCTTCTTTCCATGGAGTGGCTGATGAGTTTGAACCACCAACCTGGTTAGCACTCAAATGCCTAAGGCACTACGCCACCAGAGCTCCTTTTATCTGAAGACAGTGGCTCTCAATCTTGCTTCCACATTAGAATCACCTGGAATGCTTTCAAAACCTACCACATCCAGGCTCTACCCCTAGAGATTCAGATTTGATTGGTCTGGGTGGAGACTGAGCAGCAAGCAGTATTGTTTAAAAGTTCTCATATGATTTACATGCTATCCAGGGGTGAAAAGCCTTGCTCTACACAGTACTTCATGATGGCATTTTCTACCTGAGAGGAAATACCTGAGTTTTCTAGGACCTCCAGGAAGAGTCTCCCTTGGTAAATCCCATCCGGGAAGGTATAATAGATGCAGAAGTACTCCCCAGTGTCATTGATGGTCAGCAACTGGAGTGTGAGACCCAGGCCAGGCCCCGGCATCATTCGTTCCTTGAAGGCTGGGTAGATGTGCCACCCCCAGTCAGTGTGATGAATGGCCAGAGTTTGGTCTGCCCTTTCCCAGTTGACTTGGGTCACTGCAGCCGTGGTAGAAGAGAGGTGACATTGTAAAGTGACAGAACCACCTTCCTCTGCAGAAATGTTCCCTGCTGTTACTATACTCCCTGCCACAGCTCCTCCTAGGGAAAAAGCATGCATGAGTCAGTCCTGGGTCAACAGCTTGCCTTGAATCTTCCTGTGGAAATTCCAAAGGGCTTAGAGGCCAGAATTGGTTTTTGGGATGATAGTTTCTCTGTACATCCTGTCATTCCCCTTAGAGAAGATAGTTTTTTTTTTCCTGTTGACCTATTCAAAGAGACACTTCTCTCTGTACCTACTGTTCAAGGCTTCCAGCTTCACCTTACATCCCCTTTCCAGTCTTTTCCCTCCAACACTTTTACCCAGTCTAGATAGTCTTCTTCCCTCCCATCACCTCTGTTTCTATAATTTGCTTCTGCTTCTCTCCTCCTGCCCCTTCCTGAAGTCTTATCAAAGCTTCCTCCTCCTCCTTGGTGACCCCAAATCAGAGTGAACTCCCTTTCCCTTTCACACCCACTGTCTGTATTGTATAATTAATACTTTATTCAATGACTGCTTATTACTACAGTTTAGCACTTCCTTCTCTCAAGATATTCTGTTGTAACATGACTCAATGAGTAAATCATTGATTATTTTCATACGCTTTTTTCATCTGCTACTTAGAACATAGCCCCTTGTCAGCTAACACCACTTCTTCTGATTTGGATTTGTTGGGGGTGTCTATATGTGTGTGTTTGGTTTTTAGGGTATTTTTTCTGTGTCTTTGAGCAGTTCAGTTCTGCTTTGGATGCAATATCTTCCTTTGACATATTATCTATTTGGTTGATTAAGGGGCCCTGGTGGCACAGTGGTTAAAGCACTCGGCTATGAACCAAAAGGCAGAGGATTGAACCCAAAAGCCACTCCATGGGAGACAGATTAGGCAATCTACTTCCATAAAGAATACAGCCTTGGAAACCCTATGCATCACTTCTGCTCTGTCCTATAGGGTGTCTAGAATCAGAATTGACTTGACAGCACTGGGTTTTTTTGTAACAAACAAAAGGTACATTTAAATATAATTTAAAAGCAATAGATTGACTAATAGCAATCTAAAATACCAGTGTAACAAATACCAGTGTTTGGAAGTGCAATGGTTGAGCACTAGGCTGCTAACTGAAAGGTCAGTGTTTTGAACCCACCCAGAGGCTCTGCAGAAAGATTTGGGGATCTGCTCCCATAAATATTCTATAGCATAGAAAACCCTATGAAGTGGTTCTACTCTGCCACGTGGGGTCACTAAGAGTCAAAATCAACTCCATGGCACCTAACAACATTTGGTTGGTTGCCATTTCAGGTGCCTAAAAAAACTTTAAGGCCAAGAAATGCAAGGGAAAATAGGTTTGAGGAAAAATGTTTTCTCCCAGGCAAAATCATCCTCTTTAGCCCTTACCAACCCCAACACCCTTTGAGCATCTCTCTATCAGATGGTTCAGAGAGTAATATAAAAACATATTTATGCTACAGTTTTTAGAGGTTTGTGTCTCCCATTCAAAAACATTTGCTTATAATTTTTAATGTAGAAGGAAATAAATTTAACATGAATTTTATCTCTAAGGGTAGAATGTCTAGAATCTGTAAAGAAGACATTTTTGACCCACAGAAAACTACTTAGAGTGTTTTCTTGGAAGGTTCTTACTTTTCTATCAAGGACAGAAGAAAAGAAGAGAGAAAGGGAGGTAGAGCAGAAGTAAACATCTATAAGCAAAAACTGGATATTGCAATCCTTAGTCCCTTTGTTCTTCTCCCTGCTTCTTTCTTGGGTCAACCAGTCAGTCCCCTCAACTTCAAGGGGTTAGTAGGTCCATCACCTGCCTTCCAAAGCAGAACTATGCCTCATTCTCAGAGATTGCCTTTTCCTACAAGATGGCCCACAACGCTCTGAAAACAGAGTGTTTTTTTCCCTCAAACTAATAATGTCTTCCCTGCCTGAGCCCTCTGCTCTCCATGCCATGTTCTATCCCATTTTCCCTTTCCCTTCTCCCAGATCTTCTTCCCTAGTTCCAGGTTAGATTTTTAGGCCTTACCTGAGGCGGGAAGGGGAGCCTGTCTCAGGCTCTGGGCCCATATGAGGAGGAGACACAATTGCATGCTTCTGCTCAGGGCCTCCAGGAAGCAGATGTGGCCTCTTCTGCCACAGAAACTGGCCTACTGCAGATGGCAGGGTGAATCTGAGCCTATGAGGAAAGAAGATCTCAGAAAAACCAAGTTCAGCAAAAACAATGTGAAAGACAACTCTCAACAAGTACATCAACTGTACACCAAGGGTGAGCCACAGGAAATACATTTAAAAAAATAAACAAAAAATGTGGTTAGTGTTACACTGGTATTTTAGATTGGTATTAGTCAATCTATTGCTTTTAAATTATATTTAAATGTACCTTTCTTTTTTTTAGTCATGCTTTATCTAAAGAGCTCAAAGGCATCTGTGCAATGCCCAAGATTCTGCAGAGCTTGTACTGCTGGGAAACTGTACACTGGGTTCCCCTAATCTCACCCTACTGAAGAGTGTCAATGACAGGGAGATTTAGGCTTAGGCACTTACAGGCCAGAAACTGCACTAATGAACCAGTGAGCAAGAGTCATTTGCTTTGGGAACAAGATATGGGTAGGACAAAGATCTTAAACAAATAGAACAACTGTCCCTTGAATGAAGTCTTCTCTTCAAATTGTATTTCTTCTGCCTTGTTTATCTGCACTGAGAATTTGTGCAGATGTGGTCTCTTCTGGTTTCATCTCTCTAACCCAGTTGAATCAAAGGAGACCAGAAAGATGAGTTGTTATTGCTCACAATGACCCCATGAGAGCTGGGAGAAAATTAGTGGAGAAAAAAGGGATTGTTTGACATTTTTCTGGAGTTTCCAGATCATCACCAGGTCCTACTCTGGGCCCATCCTTCTACCCTTCATCCTCCCTGCTCTTCCTGCCACCCTTTCTCCCACTTTTAGTTTATTTGGCCACATCCTATTACCTATGACCAGGGCTTGGAGGCTGCTTTTCACTGGGGGGTGGCTCTATGTTAAGACTGGGGCCTAAGGTGGGCAGGCCCGGGGCTGGGAACGGCTTTTCACTTGGTGACAGTTCTTTATTGGGGGCGGGGTGTGAGGTAGGTGGGCCCAGGGCTTGGAGGCTGCTTTTCACTTGGGGGTGGCTCTATATTAAGGCCAGAGCCTCAGGTAGGTGGGCCCAGGACTGGGGCTGCTTTTCCCTTGGGAGTGGCTCTTTATTAAGGCCAGGACCTGAAATAGGTGGGCCAGGGCTTGGAGGCTGCTTTTCACTTGGCAGCTGCTCTTTGTTAAGAATAATATTCATATACCTATAAGGAAGACCGGGAGCTCTGGTGGCGTGGTGCCTAAGGCATTTGACTGTTAACCAGAAGACTGGCAGTTCAAACCCACCAGTCACTCCTCAGAAGGAAGGTTGGGCAATCTACTTCCATAGTGATACCACCTCAGAAACCCAAAGAGGGGTTGCTATGAGTCACACCTGACTCAATGGCAGTGAGTTTTAACAAGGAAGACCAGTTAATACTACTGTTATTCAAATTTATGTATCAACCACCAAAGCCAAAGATGAGGATATTGAAGATTTCTACCAACTTCTGCAGTCTAAAATTCATTGAACATACCTTCAAGATGTGTTGATTATCACTGGTGACTGGAATGCAAAAGTTGGAAACAAAGAAGAGTTACCAGTAGTTGGAAAATATGTCCTTGGTGATAGAAATAATATTAGAGATTGCATGACAGAATTTTGCAAGACCAAATTGCAAATACCTTTTTTTGCAACAATATATGCAATCACTCTACCGTGGAGTTCACCAGATGGAATACATAGGAGTCAGATTGACTACATCTGTGGCAAGAGGTGATGGAGAAGTTTTATATCTTCAGCCAAAAAAAGTCCAGGAGCTGATTGTGTAACAGACCATCAAATGCTCATATGCAAGTTCAACCTGAAGTTGAAGACAATTGAAACAAGTCCACAAGAACCAAAATATGACCTTGATAATATTCCTCCTGAATTTAGAAACTATTTAAAGAATAGATTTGATGCACTGAACACCAATGACTGAAAACCAGAGGAATTGTGGGATGACACCAAGAACATCACCCATGAAGAAGGAAGAGGTCATTAAAAAGACAAGAAAGGAAGAAAAGACCAAAATAGATGTCAGAAGAGACTCTGAAGCTTGCCCTTGAACAAAAAGTAGCTAAAGCAGATGGAAGAAATGACAAGATAAAAGAGCTGAACATAAGATGTCAAAGAGCATCTCAAGCTGACAAAGCCAATTACTATAATTAAATGTGCAAAGACCTGTAGTCAGAAAACCAAAAGGGAAGAACACACTCAGCATTTCTCAAGATGAAAGAACTGAAGAAAAAATTTAAGCCTCGAGTTGCAATATACAACATACAAGATTCTTTGGGCAAAATATTGAATGATGCAGGAAACATCAAAAGAAGATGGCAGGAATACACAGAGTCACTGTACCAAAAAGAATTGGTCCCCATTTCAGGAAGTGGTATATGATTAAGAACTAGTGATACTGAAGGAATAAGTAGAAGCTCCACTGAAGGAATTGGTGAGGAAAAGTCTCCAGGAATTGGCGGAATACCCATTGAAGATGTTTCAATAAACGGATGCCCTGCTGGAAACACTCACTTGATTAAGCCGAGAGATGTGGAAGATAGCTACCTCGCCAACTGACTGGAAGAGATATATATTTGTATCCATTCTAAAGAAAGGTGATCCACAGAATGTGGAAATTATTGAACAATATCATTAATATCACACACAAGTAAAATCTTACTGAAGATAATTCAAAAATAGTTACAGAAGTATATTGACAGAGAACTTCCAGAAATGTAAGCTGGATTCAGAAGAGGATGTGGAACAAGGGATATCATTGCTGATGTCAAATGGATCTTAGCTGAAAGCAAAGAATACCAGAAAGATGTTTACTTCTGTTTTATTACTAGGCCAAAGCATTTGATTGTGTGGATCATAACAAATTATGGATAACATTGAGGATAACATTGAGAAGAATAGGAATTCCAGAACACTTGATTATACTCATGAGGAACCTGTACTTAGATGAGGAGGCTATTTTTCAAACAGAACAAAGAGATACTGCATGGTTTAAAATCAGGAAGATATGTCTCCTCCAAATTTTCTTTGTTGGTTACCACAGGTGGAATGGGAGGGGAGGGAACACTGCTAGATAGGTAGAGATAAGTATTGATTTGGGTGAAGGGAAGGACAATGTACCAACTGTGAGTGAGCAACACAGTGGCATTGAGGAAGAGGAAGACATAGAGAGGAGCATGGGAGCTACAGAGAACAAAGACGAAACCTTTTGCACAAACAGTAATGCATTGTCAGTGATGGCAAACATTGATCTACAGGTGGATGGGTGGATAGGCTGAATGATTAGGTATGTCTATGCAGGGGAAAGTGTGCCCATGACCATGTATAAGGTTGGCAGACAATGTCTCTGTAAGTGTATTTGTATGTTCTGTAAGAATTTCCAGGTATATAGTAGAGCTGACAAGGATAAGATTGTAGTCACTTCTTGGCCATAGCCAGCTACTCAGAGGGATTGAGTAGTTGGACTGGGGGGTGGGGCCCAGGACCATGGTCACAGGTGACATCAAGCTCAATTGGCATAACATACTACACCAAAACGTTGTTCCACATCCTACTTTGGCAAGTAGCGACTGGGATCTTAAAAGCTTAAGACAGCAAGCAGCTATCTAATGAAATGATGGGTCTTTCCTCATCCAGAGCAAAGAATGAAGAAAACCAAAGATGCATGGAAACAATTAGTCCAAGGGACTGGTACACCATGTGATTCTCAGCCTATATGAATATGAGACCAGAAGAACTACATGTGCCAAGTTACCACTGTCAACTACTTGGAGGGGGATCTATGTAGGAGATCCTGGATAGAGTAGGAGAACAATGTGAAGTAAAACTCAATATCATTAAAAAAAAAAAAAAAAAGACCAGGTTTGTTGGTCTGATAGAGCCTGAGTGGAAACCCTGAGACCATGGCCCCTAACTGCCCTTCAGTTCTGGAATTTAACCCACTCCTATGGCTTTCAAGCAAATGAAAGACAAACATATGAGCTGAACATTTACATTAGGTAGGTACACTCCTTGGAGAGAACAATCATGGGAGAATAGAAGGGGTGTGTATGCACAGGGAGACAGCTCAGGGGGCAGGAGTGCATGGGAGGGAAGGATATAGGGAAGAGGTAACTATGGGGAGGAAATGGGAGGGGAGCTGTTGCATTGTGGGAAACTGCAGTCAATGTCATGAGACAAAGTGTATGTGCACTGCTGTATGGAAGACGACTTTGCACTGTAAAGTTTCACCCAAATCACAATAATAAAAAAAAAAATGTATCTCTTCTGCCTACTTTCTACAGTCTTCTGAAGGAATAATGATACCTAACTGTTCAAGCAAGGGTACTGAAGCTGAACCAGAGAGATGTTTCCCAAACACATTGTAAAGACAGAGGAGGAGGATAGAGGGTATATCTAAGAGCAGCTAGTCAGAGTAGAACCCCAGGTGGGGTAGTGCAAAAAGGGTGTGGTGGCAGTGTACTATGAAGTGCCATAACTTCACAAGGGGGAGGCAGAATCACCATCAGCAGCATCAGTCCAAGACCAATTCCTGTGAGGCTGTCAGACATTCTACCACCCTCCAATCTTTTTACCAATTCTGACACCAACCACTCCTCCATAACACTCTCTATCTCTCTGCTAGGTTCAATAATTCATTGCAATAGCCACACAGAACTCATAGACAATACTCATGATTATGGGGCATATTAGGGAAGTAATAGGTTACAATTCAGATTCAGGAACACTCAAGATACAGTTCTTCAGTCAAAATAGCTTCCCCTTGGTCATGCCATTAGCATGCCTCTCTTTGGCCTTCGGCTTCTCAGCTGGCTCTGCCCTGCTCCAGCAGGTGTTATAAAGCTCTTTTAGCTCTGCCAATAGGTGCATTCCATTCCACCAGCAAGCTTCTTGCCCAAAGGCACTCAATGGGTTTACTGTCCCACAGAGCAAGAAAGCTC